TATATTTAATGTAGCCTCATGTTGTAGCTGAGTTTGACTATTTGATTTTACTACACAGGATTAGGAAAACTCACACAGGAGCCCAATGCATTAGAAATTATACATATTCCACTGTGCTACTTAGTGTTATATAAAGTTATTAATTGTTATTCAGTAGCATATAGCTTGAATAAAAGAACATTAAATGTAAAAAATGAGAAATGAAAGATTTTAAATTAAAACTTGATATGATGCCTGCTTTTAAAGATATTTGTATATTTGGAAGATGAAGCATATGCCCAAAAGTTTAAACGGGCTATCTCCTGTTTACTACTGTAAACCCACTTGATCACTTTGGGATGCACCCACAGCACCAGTATTTTTAAGTGTAAGACAATAGATATTTAAGTGCCTTGTTTTCTTTGTAATTAGTGCTATGTTGATAACAGTGTGTATGCTAGGGACAAAAACAGAGGGCTAAATCCAAAGAATATCACGACGTCATGAGCCAGGAAGAAACTACCTCTAGGAAAAATCATAAAGTTAGCATAGAGAATCTTTGATCAATAGGATTTGTTCTTTCTACCCTCCTCAAGTTTCTTTGAAGTGTTGGCAGATTGCAGAAATTTAGGTTTCATTGAAACTGTAGCTGACAGAATCAGCTTGTATTTCTGTCTTCATAGATTTACTTTAAGAGGATTACATCTAGACAGCTAACTTATTTGACCATGTTTTACATTTTTCCATTTTATCCAGAAATAAGAAATGGAAACCTGAAAGCCATTTTAGGACTGTTTTTCAGTTTGTCCCGTTACAAGCAACAGCAGCACCATCAACAGCAGTATTACCAGTCATTGGTGGAACTCCAACAGCGAGTGACTCACACTGCCCCTCAGTCAGAAGCCAGTCAGGCCAAAACCCAGCAGGATATGCAGTCCAGGTAAGGAAGTGAAGCAGTTTAAATTAGTTTTAGACACAACTTGATTTTTTAAAAATGTTTGCTTGTGAGTTTGAAATTATGGTTATGCTATTTTATTTACATGTGATCCAGACATGTGACTGGTGGAAGAAAATTTCAAGTTCCTTTTCCTTTGATTTGAGAAGCAATGTCTATCACATTTTAGGTTGTTTTCTAGTGGTAATTGTTCTCTATCAAAATTGTATAAAATGTCTTTGGTGTAAACAATAAGACATGATTCTTCCTTTCAGTTACTAGTACCTAGAATGTGCCATTTGAATCCTGGTCACCGGCTGTGTTATCTTTTGTTGAACATACGGGTTGATTAAATCTGTCTAAAAGTCAAGGTTTGTTAAACATAGGAGTTTGAGTGTTAAGAAATGTCAGAAAGTAACCGACTGTGACTAGTAATAATCAGATATATAGAGATTAGAGATGCATATGCAAACATCTTAATGTCAATTGCATTAAAAGTGAATTTTTCTGTATGAAATGGAAATCTTTTTTAAAGGTTAAAACTTCATTTAATTTTATGTCTTATAGGGTTTATACTGAGTACAATATTGTATAACTGTAATAATTCAACAGTAAACCTAAAACTTTATAGCCAATTTTGAAAGAGATGCCTCTTAGCTCAGGAAATTGTTATTGAATATGTCAATGCAGTTGTAATGAAATTCTTCTTCTAAGTATGTGGTTATTAAATAAATAATTTTAAAAAAGAAATGTAAGATTATGTGTATATGTGAATATTTATATGTGCGTACTTGGATGTTTGTGTAGTTTGAGTTTGGGTCCATGCAGGCACAGCCTATTTCCAAATCAAGCTTAAAATCTAGTAATACTCAACTTACCTTAATTTGTATGTTCAATACTAAATGTTGGCTCAAATTAACTTGAAAAGTTAAAATATTTTCACAAATTACTTCCCACTAAGTGTCGCATGTTTGACTTCAGGAATCTCCTTTTCTTCAACTTGATTTGCTAGGGACCTTATTTCCTAGTTCATATTTTTTCTGTCCTCACTATGTATGTGAATTCTATTCTCTTTATAAGACCTTTTGCTCATTAGTTGGTTTGTAAATTGATGAAAAAATCATGATTTTAAAGAAAATAGTATGCATTTTGAAGTTCACTAATGAGGATAGTTTTCTTTATTTAGAATATAGTAATATAGTATGGATAGTCTTTTGTTTACTAAGCTCACCCTGGCTTTCTGCGATGTCAGCTGAAATTGTACCAGAGTCAAAGTGAAAGCAAAACTAAACAAAAAGAAACAAAGCAGGATAATGTCAGTTCCAGGATTTTCTTAGGAATAGGGAAGAAAATAGAAAGCTTTCTTGTTTACTATTAGTGTTTTGTATTTGCATAGTTAGTAAAGAGACTGAGACATCCAAGACTGACAGAAGTAATATTTCCTAGAGATTGACTTAAGCAATTTGAGTGGACTAGAAACAAAAGCAGTATCTGGAAAATCCTTGTAAGTGCAATGGTTTTGAACAAAGCATCCTGACTCCAGAAATCACACAGGGTATCACATGTCAAGTTTTTCCTTCATTCTTTTCTATATCTGCCATATGGAACTCCTTGCCCAGAATTCTTTTGTAATTATTACTGTTTTGGGGAAAATATTTCTTCCCTTATTGTTGTTTTAAGATTTTATATTTTAATTACATATATGTGTATGTGTATCTGTGTGGAAATGTGCACAGGAGTGCAGCTGTCCTTAGGGGTCAGATGAAGGCATTGGATCCCCTGGAGCAGGAGCTGCAGGCAGCTGTGAGCTACCTGACATGGTGCTGGAAATGAAACCCAGGTCCTCGCCAAAAGAGTCTGTACTCTTAACCACTAAGCTGCCCCTTCAACCCCTTTTTCTTATGCATTGTGAATAATTGCAGGTTATATTTAAATATAAAACCACAAAAATTGACTATAGTTTTTTATCATTTGGGGAGAGCTAAATTATTTTTTGTTGTAAGAGTTTATTGAATGTAGTCTTTGCATTATTGTCATTTAAGACTGGATGGATTCCTAGTTGTTATTTATGCTGCTAAACTCTATTTAGTTTTTAAATTGATACTTCACTTAACAAAAGTTTTTATTATATCCAGTTTTCTAAATTTAGCATTCATGACACTGGTGCAGTGGGTATTAGAAG